AAGAAAACTAAATGCTTAAGGCTAAAAGTTTTCAATTAGAAAAATATTGGTATCAGCAGGTATTTCAATATCAGGATAAATCAACCCCACCTTAGCTCCACTCCAAAATAATAATAAAAAAATAACTGAAACAAAGTACCTGAATGTAAACAACTACTAGATTTTAGTGTCAAAAAATGAAATGATGTAAAGTCAAAGTAACTCAGGTAATGGAAACAATAAATGAACGGGCAGGTCTTACAATAATATCTATTGCACGTTTACCTCATACACAATGAAAGAGTTGCTAATACATACATATCTTTTTTTTTCCCACACATTTTTCCTGAAAAACCTCCAACTACTCACCCACCTCCCCTCAAAGTCCCCTTCACGAGGTGAAAAAACAAAGATATGAATACAATTATTTAAGTGTTAAAATGTTCATTGTGGGAGCTTTCCAAATTAAAATTGTTAGTATTCCCATTAGAATGAAAGTCAACCAATCAAATGTTTTCAAAAAGTGGTCAAATGAGACAAAATAAATAAATAAGTAAATAGGTGAAGGACTTTCTTTATCAACTGCCTCAACAGCAATTCAACGCAGGCTGCTGGTTTGGTTATTATATATGTATTTTTTATTTTTATTTTTTTTTTTTGCTTTGGGGACAATCTGACACAAACATGAGATAATATGTTGTCCTCTGCAGACAATCTTTCATTTTTGAAACAAGCCCTGATGAGAAACTGCGATCTTACCGGAACAATGATGTGCATCCACTTGGAAAGAGAAAAATGACTTTCTTCCTCTGTCAGCTTTCAGGAAGCCGTGTTAACTAATTTCCTCCTAGTTACAATATCAAGCCATCATTTGAATCACAGGTGGCCTCGCGCTAACCTCCCAATCAGGGGAAAATCAAGAGATCACAACAGAGCTGACAAGACCATTAACTACTGCCATTTTGCATTCATTATGCACAGCTCAATCACAGTCACAGTCATGGAATACATATTTATGCCTGTAGCATTAAAGCTGTTTTTTAAAGTTGGATTTTATAACAAACCATATCTTCTCTTGCTCATTCTTTACATGTTCACAAGCATAAATGCAATAGCAACAGAAAAAAAATTTAAATTTTAGCTACCATTACTGCTCAGTGGCCAGGTTTTACGACATGTCTGCTGTTGCACCGTGTTGGAAATGTTCAATTAGTCCAGTATTGTGTGATAAGATGTTGAACATAACTTATGTATCGTTACATCTATGAAGAAGTCATGTACCTCATAAATGTAATGAAACGTTAATTCAGAAACGTCAGGCTGAGAGGCTGAATGTTGAGGGTTGCCTCTGCTCAGAGGGCCGCCCATAAATGTCACCAGTGGCCATGTGCCGGATTTCAAGCATTCACTGTAGTCAAGGGTGCTGTATGCATGTGAGGGAGCCACTGCAGTGAGCTTTCATACGAAATGCAGCAAGCGTTACGCATGCATGCTTCACAAAAAAATGTACTTAAAAAACTTTTTTTTATTTTTATTTAGCATTCATAATTTAAAGTCAACAGCAGTTTAACAGTTTTGTGCATCTTTTATATTAACGTGCTAAACATCCACGTAATCGGAGATAAACCGTGGAAAACATTAATGTCCATGTTCATTGCAAAACCTTGTGTGTTTGAATTCTGCTCCTCTGTTTGCTTTTCCTTTACTGCTCAGACATACTCCATCACGTGCCTAAAAGCTGCACCGAAGATTATTTTTGATGATTTTTATGACGCCGTTTGGCAAAATGTAACATTTTGTTGCACGTTTCGTGGCTGTGCAGGACTCTGTGGCTGAACGCAAATCTCAATATGTGGCTCCAATTATCTTGTTTATACTAAATATAAATAAACTGATATATTATCTTTGCTGATATACGGATAATATATCCGTATATCTCTATACGGCGTTAAAAAACAACAACAACAACAAAAAACATAAGTATAAGCAGAAAAATGTCCGTCTTCCTTCCTACCTGATTGAATTTCAGGCACGAACAAAGCAAACTGGATCACACTTTTGCCAGAGAATATTGGTAAATCCTTTCCATGTGAAGCACAGGATGTTCATCCTGAAAATCTCTTACTTTACGAGAGCTGCTCCTTTTATCAAAGAACACTGCAGTGCACTTTTCACACTCGTCTATTGAACATAGTCTGATTCATTTCAGAATCCTTGGAAAATATGAGTTATGACTGTGAACAATACTGAACAGTGCTGTGCAATTGCTAAGAATTTCTCTTGCAGCCTATTTTTGTCATAAGAACAATATTTTTTGCTCTTCCTTTTTTTCTTTTCCAGAACATTGTATTCTTAATTCCACAGAAAATGTTGGTAAGTCTGTCTTTTCAGGAGTTTTGAGAGTTCTCGATGTAAATTCTTTCACCCACACAAATGCATCTCAACCATTTCATTTTACGCTTCTTCATATAATGACAAAAACTTTTATACTTTCAAAATATGACTACAGTAATGGCTTAAGTTTGTAGTTGGCATTTTGCAAATTTGCAGCTTTCTTTTTTTATTTTTTTAACACAAATCTTCCACTTACATTGTTAAACGGATTTAATGCGAAATGAGCCACAGCAAAAAAAGTTTAAAGAGTATGCATTATGACAGAAACATGCTTTATACTTTCTTATTGGCTTCAAGACATCCAGTGTCAAGCAAGTGCCAAGATGGCCTCCTACTAAGAAGTGGGCAATAGAGTCGAGTTGACACCAGTGCACAGCCTAGGTGGCTTTGGCACAATGTAGGTGTGAGTATATCTACCCACACAGTCAGATGAAGACTTCTGGACAACAGCCTTGTGACAGGAAGGGCAACAAAGAAGCGGCGAAGCCAGAAACTCAGCAGGAAGCACAAAAGATGGGCAGCAGAATACTTTTCTTCTCTTTTGCTTGTGTACAGCTGTGGCTACCAAACTTTCAGCCTGTGAAGCCATAAAGGAAAACTGGAACAGACTGGTGGTGTTGAATCCTGGCTGGGTAAAACCTTTAAATATTACTTACACATGCTTTACCATCACCATTTTTATTCTTTAATTTAATTTATCAAATGCCTACACATAGTGGTTTGTGAACCTGCATAAACAATGGGGCGCATGGGACATCCACTCTTCATTCGCCAGTAATCTGACAGGAAGAGAGCAGAGAGAAGTGGGGGGGGGGGGGGGACGTGTGGCAAAGGAACCGAGGACGGGACTCGAACTTGGGACGGCCGCATTGACATTGAGACTTGTAGCCTCTGTATAAGGGATGCCCGCTCTAATCACTGCATCACACTCTTCCATTTTGAAACGCGTGCATACAAACTTTTTTTTTTCCTTCTGCTCCTCTATCCAAATAACATAATCCTTCCCTCTAGCCCGACAGGTTCACACCGTCTATGTTAATTATCACTGCACATTTTCTATGGTAAGGAAAAATTAGCATTAGTCCAACCCACTTTCATCTGGTGAGTTTGATCCAGTTCACTGCTTTTAATAGTCACTTTGACTAACCAGGATCCCCTCAGTCAGACAGCACAGCAAGGAGAGGAAAATCGCAATCAAATTGTGTTATAGATTGCTGTATCTCACCAACTCACCACAATTTTGATAAAATATACTAAAATAACATACAGCTACGGGCATCTTTTGTCAAAGTGACTGTAGGTGGCTTGAAACTCTTAAAATTAGCATTAACTCAGAATATCATGGACATATTTGAACTAAGAAAAGGACAGTGTCCTCTATGCCACCAGTCCCATTCTTCCCACTTATCTATAGGGTTTTGTTAATATTGTTGCTACTGCCACTTCATGAGCTGTTTAGATCTATGGTTTATATTAGGTATTGTACATTTACATAAGGCAGAATACTATATTCCTGTTATTTGAATAACAGGAATATTATTCTTTTGGATGCCGTTGTGCTAACAATGTATAGAAGTCCAGCGTCTTGAAATGCACAGAACATAATCTGAAAAATCATTCGTCACAAGAATAAAACAGCTGAATGTGAACATGACCACTATGCTGGTCATGTTCACACATTAGTTAAGCATCCTACTGTGTGAGGTTGCTTTCCATTCAAAGGACTGGGATTACACACAATTTTGCACAACTATTCTACCAGGAATAAAGAATGTGATCGAAACTTTGTCTAAGAGTGACTTCTTTTCAGCAAACTTTTGTGCTTGTCTGAGTGCAATCTAACACCACACCAAAAGGCAAAAATAAGAAGGTAGCATCTCAAAGAATACAACACTGAATCCTTATCCGACGTCCAGGAAACCCCACAAGTCACATTATAAATCTGTGGTCCGTTCTCAAAATGGAGGTGGATACACAGAAGCCAACAAATTGTGAAAATCCCCAAGAGTTTATAAAATTGGAATGGGTCACCATTCATTACAATTTGGTCCAGATCCAACAAGCCAAAGGAAACTGAATTGGGTATACAGTGATGTGGATCACTGCAAGTTGATAATTCTTCATATAAATGAGTTGTAATTGCTAATCAATGAGGTTGAAACTTGAACAAGGCTTAAACAGTTGTTTTATATTTAACATTAAAGGCACAAAATATATTCTTGTCCTGGTCAAAAGGTCAGCCATGCTCAACTGTCAATAAACCCTTTTATATTGAAAAGACAACTTTTATAGAATGCATTTTTCTGCACTGAAGTCATGTGTTGAATCTATTGAAGTACAACTAGATGAAATGTCATTTTAAACCAGGCATCTTCAACTCTAGTCCTCAAGCGCCGGTGTCCTGCAACAACTAGAGGTGTCACTGGTACAACACACCTGAACCAAATTGTTTAATTACTTTCTCACTATGTAAAGTTCATCAGAGTCCTACTAATGACCTGACCTTATTTGAGACAGGTTTGTTAAAGCAGTGACACATCTACAGTAAACGCTGCAAGGAACTGTCCCTCGAGGACTGAAGTTAAAATCCACACTAAACCGTTTGTTTTGTAGTCGTTTTGTCTTACCTGGTGTGTCCCCGTATGGCTTTGGTGGTTTGTCAGTCTCTGGTTTGCTGATAGAGGACTTGGTGGTACTCTTCGACTGTGTTGAGGTCACCACAGTGAACGTCCTTTCGGAGACCCTTGAAGTAGTGCTAGTAGTTGTTGCCACTGTGGTGGGTGAGGCCCTGGTGGATAGCCTTTCATTGATTTCTCCTTTGCTGTCATCATCAGTGCTATCTGTCCCTGTGGGTCCCCAGTCTATGAAACTAGGCACCGTAGTAGTCCCCTTAGTATTCACCGTAGCATTCGGGCCCTCCTGAAGCTTGTTGTAGCTGTTCCCTTTGAGTTGCCTCCTGGCTCTGATTAACAACTTTCCTCTCGACGCCACTGGAGTTTCTACTATCCCAGCCAAAGGGTCACTTGGCTCTGTTTGAGAGTATTTGGACCAGCAATCCTTACATGCCGCTTGTCCTCTATGTGCTAACTTCCGGTGCATTTGACCTTTGGATTTTAGCCCCATCCCTGCCCTGTTCTCTTGAGGTGGAGGAACGGGGTGGAGGAGTCGACGCGCCAATGGGCCCACTGTTCTCCAGTGAAGCTTGTTGGGCATATCCCAGAGGGGTTGCAACCGAGGCCAGGAGCGAGCAACCAATTTAGGTGTGAGCTTGATCCCCAGGCCCGGGCTGAGGGGGCTGCACACAGAGAAGTCCAAGGTGAGGTGAGTCATGGCCAGCAGGATCCAGACCCAGTGCCCCACACAGCTGCCTGGCCTCAGAGCAGGCGAACTGCAGAGAAAACACAACATATAAATGAGACATGTCATTTTACTGACGAGGAAAATCTTATCAAAATACATCCAGTACAGACTTGCTCAATCTTCTGCCATCTAGTTAAAAATGTAAATATTTGCATTTGGAGTTATTATCCTTTTGCACACCAATCAAGGTTTAGACTCCACAACTTCTGCAACAGCTGCTCCATTAGGCCTTGGCAATAATTACTTTTACAAAGGGGCTCTTGAATTACAGCATAAAGGTCAGTTGTAAAGTAAATGTTGCAGAATATGAGAAAGGCGCTGGATTTGTACCTCTTCGCTCTGAACTATTAACGGCAAGATTGAGTTATCCTTGACATCCCAGATTCGTATCAATTAGACCAACACGCAAGGTCGGTGTGCTTTAGCTGATCATCATATTCTACATTATCTCTCCCAGACACAAAGTCATCTGATTCCTAAGGAGCAAGCTGATTATGCAGAGCAATGCTTAAGGCTGTCCTGCACTATGCCAGCAGATTACACAGCATGACAAATACATAGCTGATTTCATTTTATTTTATTTTTTTTATCATTTAGACTGAGATAGTTTACTGATTAGCAAGTCTTGGCTTCGGTATAAACTTCGCTTTCTGATCACAAGGTGATAGATGGGCTGTGTATTCAGGCTGTGACCCGGTAGTGGGTTGCTTTTAAACTCAACCTTCAGAGGCCCCTGGGACAAAGCTACACATTGATTCCTGAGGGAGAAACCTCATTATAGGCTATCTTTAATCTCTGCTGTCCTTGCCCAATTTGAGCCCACAAGGATAGCTCCTTTTGGAGGCGTCACAGAGTTTGATGACAAATGAAAACAGGCTGGTCGGTTTCATCAATGGTTAGAGGCATCAAAAAGACATCGGATAATTATAGAGGCTTGTTTGTGCCACTCTGGCACTCTACTATCACCCGTACACTGCCTAGTTGTACTGGAAACTATGTGTATTACAAGAGTTTAGTTAGTCATTTGACAACTTTAATGGAGCTAATGTGATTATTTAAGAATAAAATGACTCTTGATTGTCAGCATTAGTTTCTTTTTATGCAGTGCTTAAATACAGTGGGGCTGAGACTGATAAGAGAAACCATGTTTTCATTCTTCCCTACTTCTCAACTGAGGTGTGAGGGACCCTTATAACAAGCCCCTTATAAAGGAATAATTTAAAACGCCATTTTAATTGAGCCATAAAAGGTGACTGATGTGATTACGAAAGAGCTGCGACAAGGTCAGTGTACTATCGACAGCTAAAAATACGGGTGATAATTTGTCTTGTACGAGCCCTGGCCCTGACCTCAGACTTTCTGGCACTGATCCTGGCTCCCACCCAACCTGGAGACTCGAGACGATTCACTTCTGACTCTACAGGCCAGATGAATTCAATATGCGATAGGGGAAGTGGATGTTCCTTGTCATTAATAAAATGACTTTGCAACGGGAAAAGTAGAGTTGTACAAGATTAATAGGTATGATTGTAAAACATTTAGCATTTAAATCTGAGTCCAAGTTAGCAGAGAGAAGTTCTGCAACAGTCACGTCATTTTTCATTTGTACGTGAAAAATAAGCCGGATCTGAAAAGCAATGCGGTCCCAAACTTCTAAGTGACCTCAAAAGCTGATTTACTTATACATAATTCATCTTCAGTAATTGCATTTTTTGATTTATAAGCAAGATTTCAACATACTGTATGTTAAATTAAGGACATCTCTAAAGGATCTTTTCTATTTCCCTGAAAAAGCTGTAAACACATTCCTCTTTTTAAAAAAAAATAAGTTTATCATCTAGAAAGTTAAACTTCCAAAAAGATTATGATAAACATAACATGGCGAATCAGCTATGCTGCACAGAAAGTATTACACCCTATTGATCTCTAAGAACCAATAGCTCTGATCTCACTCTGTGCACTATAAAGAGGGTCAGCCAAAAGCCTGAGGGCATTAGATCAGATCAAATAAAATGGCTATTAATGAAGAGTAAGATATAAAGCAACAGAAATGAAATCAAAGTCTCTGTTAAAGAGATATCCTTGGTTTAACGTAGCTCAAACATGAACTTTGGAAAAACCCCAGACTGTCCTGCAAGAGCCAGACCAGACTTTTAGCAAACCTTAAACTCAATTTTTTTCTGTTGTACATGCAGTTGTACTTGTTGGTCCGCTGATTCTCTGCGTGTCATGTGGTGGCTGTATTGGGTTCAGTGACATCTCTTGGCCTCCATATTTCTCACCAAAGTCTGTCAGCATGTCACCAAATAAGTCTGAGTTCAGCTATTTTTACAAAGTGTGTGTGCTTTGGCCTGGACATCTTTTTAATTATGGTCAGTAAAGGAATCAGATCTTGAGTTGCCATGTGTTGAAATAAATGACTGGTAAAGACTTACCAACAACACTCTGCTACAAAAGCTTCAAACAAGATTCTACATTGTGTGTGTGTGTGTGTGTGTGTGTGTGTGTGTGTGTGTGTGTGTGTGTGTGTGTGTGTGTGTGTGTGTGTGTGGGTGTGTGTGTGTGTGTGTGTGCGGGGCAGAATTTTGGGTACTTGACAGAAAAGAAAAACCCTGACAGAGTGACACACAGAATACAAAAAAATGTGTAAAGCCTGTGAGGAAACCTGAACTGTCATGAAGAAAATCTAACAATTCAATTCTTCAACAATTAGGGGACTCAGCTGGTGTGTGAGAGAATCACGCACAGCTCCAATCACCTGGCACCTCATCCTCCTGCTGATCACCAGCTTGATCACACACTGCTGTGGGGCAGCAGCATCCGATTCCTCAACCAACATTTGCTTTGAGTTGGCGAATTTGGTTGTGGCGGTCACTGGCATGGACTGCACGTCCCCACCTGATTCCACAAGTGTTCAAAGGTGTTGATGTCTGGACAACAGGCAGGTCATCCCGTCTTTCCTACTTAGATCGCCTACAGTGACGACAAACACTGCCTCCACCAAATGCGTTGTGTCATTGGCGGAGAGGATCAGTTCAAGCTAGATACTCAACTGCTCAACCTGCAAATGCATTTTCCTTATGAATGTGGTAGCTCTATAAATGGAAGTAAAGTGGCTTAAGAGCTGTATAAGATCTGCAGCTAAGAATATCTGATACCAAAAGAAAAAGAAAACTTTTCTAACTTTTTGTGATTGATTTTTATTGCCTAAAAACAAGAAAAAGTATTAAAGTATATCCAAACTAAATGGATGTTATCCCCTGAACAGAATGTAATTATTCAAGCAATTCATTGCTACCTAAGCTAAACATCCTTAAATAATTTACTATTTTTAATCCTCTTTGGGGTTTTTTGTGCTTTGGAGTTACAAATTAAAAAAAAAAGAAACAAATCAATGAATTACCATTAGAATCTATCTTTACTTTTTAATAAATTGGAAGAGGACAGAATTAAATACTGCATAAATCATTTTAATTTGTAAGGCATGCAGTTCTTCTACTCATTCTTCACACACACAATTCTGTATGCTGATGTGCTGCCTCAGTCCTACTTGGATTGCGTACTACTTGCATAACTCCAATCACAACAGGACTTGCTAGAGCTATAATATCCTAGCCACAAGAAATATTTTCTAGGAACTGCACATTGATAATTTAAGAGACACTAACACACTCTGACATCTTGCATAATGAAAATATAATTTGGAAGTACACTGCACAGATGGCGGAAGAAGTAGTGCAACATTCTCAGCGTGAACAAACCAGATTGCTTTCTGATGGGACTGGTGTGCATGGCGTCCTATTTTATGAGCACATGCTATATCATACTGCCATGGCTGACTTCAAAGTTTAGGTAAGCCCCAGGAATGTGGCAGGAAATCCTTTTAGTGGAGCTTGTGACATGGCCTTATCCAGAGCTTCTCCTGCCCCAGTCTCACAATTTTATCTTCAGAGCGTGATAACACATGCAGCCCTTCTGGTCTAGATAAAAAGAGCCCGGCAAAATTATTCATATCCCTGAAACTTTGCTTTTTTTTCCTTTTTTTTTAATGCAACAGACCAACAGAAAATTGTGTATTTTTGTGAAGTCCAAAAAAAAAAAAGGTACATGGATTTAAATTATTTCATTAAAAGTGTGGAGTCTGAAAACTGTGGTTTTGCATTCGCATTCAACTCCCACCAGTCAAGGCTTGGCAAAACCACATTTCTTCCCAACTACAGGTCTTTTGATGTTTGTCTCTACAAGCTTAAATTTCAAGTCTTGCCAAGGACTTCCAATTGGATTTAGGTCTAATATATGACTGGGTCATTCCAACACATGAATCATTGATCATGTGTTGGAATCTTTGATCTAAATCATTCTGCAGAAGCTCCCTCTGTGTGTTTAGGGTTGTTGTACAACTATAGTAAACTTTTGCAAAAATACATTTAATGGCATTCTTTCATCAATGGCTTTCTTTGAACAATCACTTTCTCCTTACGTAAATGCAATTTTTGTGGGATGTATGGCCGACAGTTTCCTTGTTGCCAGGTTACCCAGCATGAGCTGTGGACCTCTGCATCTCCTCCACAGTTACCATGGGCTTCTTGGTTCCATCTCTGATTAATGCTCCCATTGCCCACTCTACCAGTTTGGGAGGTTTCTAAGTTTGCAGCTTTGTCATTCTCTCTCCATGTCGGTGGTTTGGCAGTGCACTATCAGAGGCTTATAGTTTGGGATACTGTTACAGCACAACTCTACTTTTCTCCACAACTTTCTCTCTAACCCATTTGGGTTTCTTGGTCTTCATGATGCCACTTGTTCACTAATGTTCTCTAACACAAATATGAGGTCTTTACAGGACTGAATTTAATATGTACACTGGTGTCGATTAAGCAGCTGTTGGTTGAAACAGTTGTATAAGAATAGAGGCAGAGAAACACCAGTGAATGTCTAAATGTTTTGGTTTTTAGTTGTAAAAATTATTTAAAAAAAAAAAACTAAACATGCAAAGTTTTTTCTTCTGATTCACAGACATGCTCTACTAGT